CGCGCACCGCCCTGTGATGGCGCGGCTGCGGTGGGCCCGGCAGCGTGGAGCTGGGATGCGGGGTGGGCACTTGCAGGGTGCTGCTTTCTTCCCGTCTAACCCCAAAACTTAACTGGAGGCGCAGAGCGGCTCAGTGCAGGGTGGGTGGCTCTGCGGCAGCAGTTGGTGCAGGGGTTGAACGTATCTCGGCGGACTGCAGAAGTATGAGCTTTGTGGGTCTTATCCGTTCGTGGTCTCAGGGGTGCGGAGCGCTGCCTGGCCCTGAACTGCAGTGGCTGGGACCGACAGAACCCTGCAGGAAAGCACAGCGTCGTGAGGGTTTGGAAAGCTCGTGGTGCTACGGGTGGAGCAGGGGCTTCAATTGTGGAAAGTATTAAACCTGCAGAGGTGGGTGTGAAGTACCTGGTTATAGGAGAGCTGGCAGTGGAGCAGTCTGTAACGGAGGAATAAGGTAGATGCGTTTCAGCCACAGCCTAAATTGAATTAGCAGTGAAATAGAAAATAGGCTGGGTGACTTCTGAAGTCGCTCCTAGTCTGCCTCTTGGAAACAACAACTGCTGCCCCCCACAAAACTGCCCAGTAATGATAAATACGGGAGTTATGCAGGTTCAGTGATTGGGTGTGTCAACACAAATTAAATCAGTTTGCATCTTTTATCCCGCTTTGAAGAAATGCTGTGTTTAGATGTGCTGTTTGAGATATGTAGCATTGCACACCTGGATATCTAATAGTCCTGCTCATCTGAAAAATGTTGTGTGCAAATGTGTAAAAGGCCCAGTTCTGTGGCTGAAATGAAAACAGATTAGCACATCTCGTTGAGATCACCGTGCTGCGTAGCACCTGCCAGGGGATTGTACTTCCTTGGGAGATGCTAATAGCATAAGCTGGTTTGGGGGCCTTAGCCCAGAGTTTGCCACAACCCTTTGCAGTCCAGTCTGGGTAAATTAGCGCTTACATTCATTGTGATCCGTATGTTTTCCCCTTCCTATAGCGCCTGACCAAACACACCAAGTTTGTGCGGGACATGATCAGGGAAGTCTGCGGCTTTGCACCCTATGAGAGACGTGCTATGGAACTGCTGAAAGTTTCCAAAGATAAACGTGCTCTGAAGTTCATAAAGAAACGGGTAGGTCAATCCGGCACCTTAATGAGGATTGCAGAAACTCTGCTGTAGTTACTTTGTTTTCTGCCCTTCCCTAGGGATATACTTTGCTTTTAATTATTTTTTCAGTTGTTTGGGAAGTTACTGGTCTAATTGGAGGGAGCGGAGCGAATGCTCCTTGGGTTGGGTGGGAGAGGGGGAGATAGATGTAAAGGTACTTCTCCAAAGAGGCCCTGAACTACACTAATCCAGGCTTGCCTTGCTGTTTTTGCATTATTTGCAAACCTGTGTGGGGAAGAGGAGAGCTGTACTGGTGGAGGCTGGGTACCATTTATCAGATGACTTGAAATGGGGTTCATTGAGCACAGCTGCGAGGCTGAAAGCAGCTTCTACCTTGCCCGAGTAATTCTTGAGTAGAACTACTGAGAGGCGATGGCAAGTAGTTCCTGGCTAGCCAGTTGAGGTGAATTGGGCTCGAGTCCGTGTTTACTGGGATTTTACCCTCCTGCCTGCTTTTTGAGTAGCGCGTTTTCAGTGAATGCCTGAAGCAGCCAAGAAGTTTTACCTGTTTTCTGCTGGGGTGAATGTTGACTGCACTGCTCTCTCCCCTGCAGGTTGGCACTCACATTCGGGCCAAGCGAAAGCGGGAAGAACTCAGTAATGTCCTGGCAGCCATGAGGAAAGCTGCTGCAAAGAAGGATTGAGTTGTAATCTGTAACTCAATAAAGTCCTTTCTCACAAAAACAGTGTTAGTGACTGTTGATGGTGAATCCGCTTCAGCCTGTAGGAATGGGGTGCTCCAGGGGATGCTGAGGGACTGTGCTGAGGAGGCCCTGAACTGCAGGAATCCACAACTTGCATCACCACTTTATTTTACCTGCAGCTGGAGATGCTGGTGCTGGCCTGTGATACATTCTAGAGGGGGAATCCCCCTCCAGAGCTAGCCCTTCTCAGGATGGGGGAAGTCTCTGCAACAGCTAAGCCTGTGAAGGCTGCAATACCTTCCACCTCCCAGTCTGTCTCCAAACTGAGATGGTGGTAGGAGAGAAAGTTGCTGTTGAAAATAGTAACAACTCTGCCCTCTTTCCCCATAGCACTTCAGCCTTGTGCTGCTTTTCTTGGTCATGCGTTTCCCCTCATAGCCTCCATTCATGCCCTACTTCTTGCAGTGGGTTATCAAATCATGAGAGACTTGCAATCGGTAAGAGCTCCCTGAATTTTAGGATGATGTTTCTCTATTCTCCACTAAGGGCCACCTTCCTGTGAGACAGGACAAGTGCTGCTCTTCCTGCACAAGGAAATACATTTCAACTACACTTCATGCAACTACTCTTCCTCTATTTAAATTCAGTTTTTCCAGCATTTGCCATAAGACAAAGTACTCAAGTTCTCTGGCCCAAGCCTGTATTTATTGATGAGCAACAGTCATTCTAAGACATTTAATTCTTTTCACTCTGAACATAACACAGCTGCTGCAGTGGCAAAGACAGTCTATGGGGGAGTGCAGTGCTAACTCTAACAGATAATGAGCATGTTGCTCTTTTTTTTTTGTACAGGTCTGCTCTCTAAGTGTGGAGTTGTGACAGTACTGACCTGTGATTTAATCTGGAGAGCCACATCCCTCTGCAGCTGAACATGCTAGCTCTTGCTGAATTGTCCTGGAAGTTGTTTCCCCTCCAGCCTAGCACAGGCTTGTAAGCTGGGACAGGGAGAGGTTTCTGAGAGGTACTCAGCTACCAGTACATCAGGAACGCTGTACGTGAATCATAGCCCCAGCTCTGTTTGGGAGTTAAAATGTTTTTGTAAGCATTATTTAGAACTTATTTCACTGTAGTACTAACTGAAAAAAATCTTTAAAGAGGCTAGACTAGCTCCACTGCTGGTGGCTGACAGCATGCACGTTCCTTAAGTAAAATTTCACAATTTTATTAGAAATACTTAATGTGGATCATAATTCAATATTAAAGAGTGAGAAATACTTTATTCTACCAAAGCCATAATTCATTTCAGCAGCTGCGCAGCAGCAATAGCTCCATGTCCCACTTCAGGATTGGCCACAGGTCACCCCGTTTCTGGACGGGGGCCGAGCATTTGGGGACAGACCACCTTCCAGCCATCAGGGTGTTGAATGTCATCCTCCAGCGGAATCCAGCTTTGAAAATGCTATATCAAATACCTCTTTGTAGTGCTCAACAAAATGTACTTCTAGTCCTTCTGTAATGAATCCAGCAAGGTCGTAATAATCCTTTTTATTCTCTGATGGCAGAATGATGCAGGTAACACCTGCCCTTTTTGCCTATGGGGAAAAGAAAGTTGTGCAGTCTGTTAAGTCCTAGAAATCCATCACTGTACTAGAAACACTCACATTTTAGAAAGCAAGAACAGTTCTTTAGAAGCATGATCTGGCTTTACTCTGTTCTTTGGAGAGCAGCAAGGGCATTACTTATAGGAGCTGTCCCTACAGATGGATCATGTTCCAGATCTCCCCAAGCCCCCGAAAGACAAGCTCTCACTCAGAATCACCGGGACAGCTGAGGCAGGAGGTATTTTAGTAGGTTTATGTCAGCACATCAGGGGGTTGTTTAGAAGAACTCATACTATTTTACAGAGTTTTAAAAGTCTTCCAGCTGGGGTGAGGATAAACCCTGGAATCAAGAGTTAGAAACAGCTTACCAGACAACCCACCACATCAATACGCACGACCCATTCTACAGAACCTTTTGATACGGACATCTGCATTGGAAGAAGCACAGAAAGTGGAGCCGGCTCATTGAGTGGCAGGTCTGTACCCACTCACCTTATGGGTGATCCTGCAGTGCGGCCACTCACACTCCTGGAAGTGCAGCCAGGCATCAGAACCAGACATCCCTATCATACTTAGTCCTTGTAGAATGACTATTACAAAGCAAATTTAACTGTTTTAAAGCCACCCGAGGAAAAGGAATTACGGCTGCACAAGGCTGTAGCCCACACCGACTTGGGACAGAATGCTGATGTGAAGCCCCAGCTCAAAGAGCTAATACCACTCTGGAAGACAGAAAACTGTGATGCAAGGCTGATGTAGGCAGGAGCCGGGCAGATGAAAAGCATGGAGAGAGATTCAATACTTGGAAAAGAAGTCTGAAAAAACTGCAAAGGGTTGAAACCAAAAAAATCAAGCACCACTATAAATCTGGTGCTTGCAAGAGTGCTTCAAGAGAACTGAGTCTATATAGCTTACTAAAAAAAAAATTTAAAAAAATTAAGCAACTTGATTATGATGTACACAGAAACTTCACAGGGGAAAATGCAAGACACTAGAAATAAGTTCCATCTAAACCAGAAAGACATAGCGATATCTATATGAAATTTTAAGTCAGACAAATTCAAGCTGGAACTAGGGAACTAGTTGGACTAGATGATCTCCAGAGGTCCCTACCAACCTCTACCATTCTGTGATTCTGTGAACAGAGCCTTAGTATTAAGGATGATACCTTATGGATACCATCAAATCTACACTGGATGCCCTCCTTAAACAGGCACTTCAACCCAGCACAGATTATTGGACCATACCAGTCTGTGATAGAGAAGACAGCTACAACAGCCAGATGATCCCTTCCATCCTTAATTCTACCAGTCTAGTAACTGGATCAACACAGATGCCCTGGCATAAAGCCTGGGGTCCCATCTCCTTCCTCACAGCGTACATTGAATCACTGCCTTTCCCAAGGAGCACTCACTCTGGTTGTCCTCGTCACTGCTGAGCCTAATTCAGGGCTCTCCCCCACAGATGATGCATGCAGACAAGATAAGAGCTCTTACCGCAATAGTCTTCTCCTTGATTCCACCAACAGGAAGAATTTTTCCAGTTAATGACACCTCTCCAGTCATGGCCACGTTCTGCCTCACTGGGTAATTCATGGCCAGTGATAGTAAAGCAGTTACTATAGTACACCCTGCACTTGGTCCGTCCTTTGGTGTTGCTCCCTATTAAAAAAAAAAAAAAAGGAAAAAAAAAGCAGAAACCCCTGCCTTTAGCTCATTCACAAGAGTAGCAAAGCCAGACAATAACTCTGTCATTGCAGTTTTAACATGGCCCCAATTTCACGGGGTCTCACAAAAGCTTTTGCAAAACCATCACTGATGGAATCCTGCTATTTGAATTGGCGAATTTATTAACAACTATTTTGGTTTCTGGCCTGATGTCACCACAATACTCATCAGGCTCAGCATTTTGAATAATCGACATGAGCAAAAACCAGCATGAACACTTTGAAACTTTTTGCTGACCTAAGTCAACCATGGAAACAAGTAACAGAGGGCAGCATCACACAGGAAGAGAGCATCAAGAGTCACCAAATAGCAGAGGACAATACTGAAAATCATTCAAGGTGGAAAAAAGCATTCAGTTTAGAAAGCCCAGCAAAATCCCGGCCTAAACTAGTGACAGTCTGGATTTATCGGAGATTAAACAGATCTTTGAGGTAGGAATAGAAAAAAATGAATGTTTGAGAGGGAGCAGAGGCAGAGATAATGTCTGGTGTCTTCTGATCCTCCAGGAAATGTATACACAGATAAGAACCAAGTACCTGGACAGACAGAGAGCAAGCTGCAACAAGGAGACTGTGGACTAGGTTAAAGCATGCGATAGTTCAGAAGCAAAGCTTGGGCACAGTAATAGCACAAACTTTATCTTCAGTAAAGCACCTGCCCAAAGACTGTTACACAGTGTATGAGCCCCTCTGAGCATTGTGTGCATTTATTTTCAGTCACAAAGACAGGAAAAACGCAATCATTGTCATTATATGGAGTAGGAGCCATGTTGTAGAGACCAAGAATAGTATTTTCTATTATGTGTAAATGACCTGAAGGCCTGGTAACACAGAGAACTAAACTTTGGTTTCCTTGTAGCTACACAGAAGCTTTTATCCAAATCACTTATCTCCATGCCATGGTTTCCCCACCTGCACAACAGGACTAAAAGCTGTAATAGAAGTCTAGGATTCCTCACAGCATTATCCAAGCCCCTGTATTCTTGCCACATGCTTGCTGCAGAAAGGAATGGTAACATAGCTTGTAAGAACGCTTTCACAGGACCCTGAGGAAAATGTCTTCTAGGTTTTACCGCTAAAAGAGGTCATTCTGCTCAACGTATGGATAAATTAAGTGCTTTCCAGCTTCATGTCTAGGGAAGCAAACCAGCCTAGCTGCTATGCATGCTCTGTGAATTCTATATCAGTTTACCTCTGGCACGTGCAAGTGGATATGGGAAGACATGAGGAAGTCATTGTTGGGGTCCTTCTGCATCAGAAAGGCTCTTGCAAATGTGTAAGCTATTCTGGCACTCTCTTTCATGACATCTCCCAGTTGCCCTGTTACTTCAAGGGACCCATCCTTGTTCTCCTTGTCTTTGGGTCGCCTCAGGGATGTTTCAACAAACAAAGTGGAACCTCCTACAAAAGAGAAGGAAAAAAAACATCCTGAGAAAAGATAAAGGAAAATCAAACCAGAAGGTTCTGCTTTTGCAGAAGCAATGTCAGGACTTTGGAACTGGGACCCTCTGATGAGACACTAGCTCTTGGGTAAAGAGCAGTTGAAACCTGGTCTCCAAATCCCTTTGGGAAGGCTAGCTAGAAATCTCAACAGCACTGCACTGACAGTCTCCACTCATTGCTTCTTTGAACTTCACATTCCACCAATACAGACACAACCCCTATTTAGTGGAAATAATCAGTTCTTATAATGGTTTTAGGCTCTTCATAGC